TTTCCATCCCCTCACTTTCAGTCTGTATGTGTCCCTAGTTCTGAAGTGGGTCTCTTGTAGACAGCATATATATGTGTCTTGTTTTTGTATCCATTCAGCAAGCCTGTGTCTTTTGGTTGGAGCATTTAATCCATTCACGTTTAAGGTAATTATCGATATGTATGTTCCTATGACCATTTTCTTAATTCTTAATTGTTTTGGGTTTGTTTTTGTAGGTCCTTTTCTTCTCTTGTGTTTCCCACTTAGAGAAGTTCCTTTAGCATTTGTTGTAGAGCAACTGGTTTGATGGTGCTGAATTCTCTTAGCTTTTGCTTGTCTGTAAAGCTTTTGATTTCTCCATCAAATCTGAATGAGATCCTTGCCGGGTAAAGTAATCTTGTTTGTAGGTTCTTCCCTTTCATCACTTTAAGTATATCATGCCACTCCCTTCTGGCTTGTAGAGTTTCTGCTGAGAAGTCAGCTGTTAACCTTATGGGAGTTCCCTTGTATGTTATTTGTCATTTTTCCCTTGCTGCTTTCAATAATTTTTCTTTGTCTTTAATTTTTGCCTATTTGATTACTATGTGTCTCGGCATGTTTCTCCTTGGGTTTATCCTGTATGGGACTCGCTGCACTTCCTGGACTTGGGTGGCTATTTCCTTTCCCATGTAAGGGAAGTTTTCGACTCTAATCTCTTCAAATATTTTCTCTGGTTCTTTGTCTCTCTCTTCTCCTTCTTGGACCCCTATAATGTGAATGTTGTTGCGTTTAATGTTGTCCCAGAGGTCTCTGAGGCTGTCTTCATTTCTTTTCATTCTTTTTTCTTTAGTCTGTTCTGCAGCAGTGAATTCCACCATTCTGTCTTCCAGGTCACTTATCCGTTCTTCTGCCTCAGTTATCCTGCTATTGATTCCTTCTAGTGTAGTTTTCATTTCAGATATTGTATTGTTCTTCTCTGTTTGTTCTTTAATTCTTCTGGGCCTTTGTTAAACATTTCTTGCATCTTCTCGATCTTTGCCTCCATTCTTTTTCCAAGGTTCTGGATCATCTTCAGTATCATTGTTCTGAATTATTTTTCTGGACGGTTGCCTATCTCCACTTCATTTAGTTGTTTTTCTGAGGTTTTATCTTGTTCCTTCATCTAGTATATAGCCCTTTGCCTTTTCATCTTGTCTATCTTTCTGTGAATGTGGTTTTTGTTCCACAGGCTGCAGGATTGTAGTTCTTCTTGCTTCTGCTGTCTCCCCTCTGGTGTGTGTGTGTGTGTCTTTGTGTGTTTATTTCCTCCTGTGTGTCTCCCTGCCAGGGGTTAGTCTAAGGGCCGTGCCCACATGATTAATTCTGCTGATTCTTGGTCAGGCAACACTTTACAGACAGGTGTGGTCTTTTAATTTAGCAGGGCAGAAGACCCTTTTCCTTCACTCTCAAGATTGCTTTGAGAGGCTTGACTGGGATTGGCTGTGTGTTTCTTCGTAATTATAGCCTCCTTTTAGCAATCCCAATATATTAAACTGTAGAAATTAACATATTACTTAGGGGTTGAATATTTACCTTTCAGAGTGGTTCTGTTTGGAGTTCCTTTAAATAGCTAGTTCTCCCATTTCATTAAAATAGAATTTGAGTCCCAGAATTTGCTTTGTAGGAATATAGGTCCTTATTAAGGTGCAACACACCCATGATCACTCTCCTAGTATCTCTGTGTCTTAGAGGCAGAGCTTCTCTTCACTGGAGGTTGAAGCAGTGTTTCACATGGGATGAGGAGCAAATGGGGAGATGCATTTTCTTCCTTATCAACTTTTTTCTCACGTCTGTCTATCAGTTATGCTAAGAGCTAATTTTTTGAATCAGGGCTGCCTTCCCTGGGTTCTGAAAGGCTGTGCCCACATGGAAGTGTCTGTGTGGGTGGGTGGAACCCCTTAGAGACAAAGTTTAATTGACTGTGCTGCTGCCCCCCAAGATCAGCTTTTCCTCTGCCATTTTCCCTTTGTTGCTTTTCTGAAGGTGATCAGTAACAGCAAAACCTGCCCCTTAAGTAGTTTGTATGGTTCTAAAGAGCTGAGAAAAGAATTCATTGTGTCCTCTATGTAAAGAAATTTAGTGGCTCATGGAAGGGAAGGAAAGAGAAAAACCAAATTTGATGGGACTTAAGAAATCCATTACTTTCCAGTTTCTTCTCTGTTATGGGCATCTGATGGCTTGGGTACTATTATAAAGTTTCCTCTGTTTTTAAAATGTTTTGAGAAGGGGGCTGGATCAATGTCTTTCATAGTGTAATATATGTGGTTGTTGAATGTTTAATTGATGTTTGCTTCTGTCTGTCAGGAGCTTGGGACTGAGGTTGTTTTGAAGATGTTTGTTAACTGGGGGTTTACAGGCTTTTCATTGTTATTGCTGACCTTTCAGTGATTGTTATTCTTCCATCACCACACAATTTCTTCTCTAAAATGACAGGAATTCAGATTACCTAAAGGTACTTGCTAATTAAAAATTGTTCTCTAAAAGCCACTCCATAATCAGCCAGGCTCACTGTAAGCAAAACACTTATTAAGCAGTCGAGAATGAAACAGGGGGTTTATGCTGATTATGAACATTGACTTCCAAACACAGAGTAGTTGCTGATGAATTTTCATTATACTAATATTTAGAAATAAATTTCACTTCTAAACCTGCTGATATTTAATTGGTTTATTACTTCCTTTCTAAAGCCTAATGAACTAAAGATATAGGTTTCCTTCAGAGACTTGGAATCTGCTTTGTCAGTGAATGGTAGCTCAGCATTAGTTATATTTTTATATATATATATATATATATATATTTTTTTTTTTTTTTTACTACTTATTTTATTTTATTTTTGGCTGCATTGGGTCTTCGTTGCTGCATGCGGGCTTTTTCTCTGGTTGTGGCAAGTGGGGGCTACTCTTCGTTGCGGTGCACGGGCTTCTCATTGCAGTGGCTTCTCTTGTTGCGGAGCACAGGCTCTAGGCGTGCGGGCTTCAGTAGTGTGGCACATGGGCTCAGTAGTTGTGGCTCACAGGCTCTAGAGCACAGGCTCAGTAGTTTTGGTGCATGGGCTTAGTTGCTCCACGGCATGTGGATCTTCCCGGACCAGGGCTCGAACCCGTGTCCCCTGCATTGGCAGGCGGTCTTAACCACTGCGACACCAGGGAAATCCAGCATTATTTATATTAATATTTATTTGTGGATCACTTTTCTTCCCTGTACCTTAATGCCGTTTGTAAATGTTTTTGGAAGTGTGTTATTAATGCAAAAATTTGAATTTTATTTCAGCGGCCATGGCTCACAGGCCCAGACACTCTGCGGCATGTGGGATCTTCCCAGACTGGGGTGGTACAAACCCGTGTCCCCTGCATCGGCAGGCGGACTCTCAACCACTGCGCCACCAGGGAAGCCCTAACTGAGCAGTCTTAAACTTAAATTCCAGTTTTCCAAAATTCTAAAGGATCCAGTTTGCTTTGTTTTGTTTCTGTTTCTGTTCGGAAGAACATAGAAATTCTGTTTCAAATTGTGTCTGGACCTTAATAAGAGATTCCAGTTCTGGAATAGTATTTGTGTTGAATAATTAGAGACTTGTGTTTCCTTCTTTTTTTTAATTTTGGGAGATGAGAGGAATTTTAGGATGACCTGATTCTGGATGTGGTTGTCTACAACAGTTTGTCTTATAAAGGATTATTTATCTTGTGCCCTTCTCCCCCACATTTTATTATTAAAATAAAACAAGTATACCAAAAAATTGAAAGAATTGTTGAATCTTCATGTTAATATTTTGCAATATTTGCTTTGTCACAAAACAGTCCGTCTAACTTTCTTTGTCTTGTTTTTTCTTTCCACTCAAGAAGAAATGATCTTGCTAATATAGTAAAGTGGAGAGAGAAACAGACAGACATGCATAGTGCCTGACACATAGTAAATGTAATAGAGCTGGTTGGCAAGAGAGAGAGCGAATATGAATGAATGAATAGGACATGCTTCTAGGTTTAGGATACAAAGAAGCAATTCCCAGCTAAATCCCTGCCATTAGGGCCTTACTGTTGGGTCAGGAGGTGAGAAACCAAAGAAGGCAAACACTTTGCCAGGTAGCTCATATGAAGCCTTTGGTGAAGGTCAGCATGGTTAGCATGGCTACTGGAGTTCAGAAGAGGGAATATGATCCCAGAAGACTGGGGCAGTTGACAAAGGCTTCTTGGAAGAAATGGAGGTGGAACTGGGCCAAGAGGTAGGGCAGAACCTGAGAACAGAGATGTGGGCACAGGGGTATTCTTGAGCCACGGGGAGCCTGAGGCTACCTATGTATTTGGGAGGAGTGACAGTGTGATAAATAGCCAGTTGCCTGTAAGCGCTTTATTTAGGTGATTGGAGAGTGGACCATCTTCCTTGTAGTGCTCCAAGGCAGGGCCCACTTCTTATTCCCTGAGCACTCCCAGTTACTCCTGCTCCAGGGCTCCGCCTTTGCTGCTCACTCTGCCTGGACTCAGTCCCTCTAGATGTCTGTGTGGCTCCCTCTTCCTTCTGGCCTCTGCTCAGTGAGAACTTCCCTGTTCCCCCTCTATAAAATAACAGCTCCTTCTGGCACACACTAGCCAACTAACACCCTCTAACATACTTTTTTCTTCTTTCTACTGTGTCCCCAAAGCCTAGTACAGTGCCTGTGATTATATATACATGTATATGTATATATAGAGATATAAAGAGTTGGTGCTCAGGGAACAGTTGATGCATGAAGGAACGAACAAATGGGAATTCTGAGGTGTATAGGGCGTTTGGGCAAGAAAATATCTTAAAGGGACCAAAGAAGCAGCTAAGAGAAGCTTGAGCTGGGCAGAGAGTCACCAAAATATGTCTTACGGCCAGTGCCCTTGTGGGGAAGGTTGAGATTTGGGTATGGTTAGCTGACCTGCTTAGAAAAGCTCCCAGGGAATTCATCCTTGACATTTTCTCTTTGAAAAATTCATGCTCCTAAGTGAAGCCTTTGGTGATTCTGATGCCTCTTGTGCTCCTCCTAGGATCCCTGCAGTGGACCATGAGACGGTAATGTCCACTGAGGACCTCTGGGAGCCATGTCAGACGAATCCGCCTCAGGGAGCGATCCAGACCTGGACCCAGACGTGGAGCTGGAGGATGCGGAAGAGGAGGAGGAGGAGGAGGAGGAGGTGGCAGTGGAGGAGCATGGCAGGGGTGACGAGGAAGACCTGCTGGATGGTGAGTGACTCTAGTGAGTGACAGAGGTTGCCTTATCTTTATTCTAATAGAATTTTTGCTGAGACAACTTGGTGTTGGCAGTTGGATTTCTTAGGTCATCATCCATCATGAGAAGGCAAAGACTGGAACATAGCAACAATGAACTCATATGCTCTTCCCCAGGAAATAATTTGTTGTTCCTCTATATAAGCCTCACTTTAGTGCTGGAAGGACCTTTAGTATTCACCTTGTCTTTAGGTCTAAAGATTTGAGACTGGAGCATGCTTGTTCAAGTCATGGAGGGAGTCAGTGGCAGAGTTCCTGTGGTGAGACAAAGAGGTGGTCTGGTGGTCACGGACCCATCAGGTGGCCACAGATGGGTGTGAGGATAACCGTGAGTGGTCTGTGAGTTTCCTAAGTTACATTCACAATCTTGCTTCTGTGAAGATGAGGAAGTTATCTGAGGAGAGATTATTAGAGGGGTTCACAACTCCAGAAAGCTTATTGCATCTCCTGCAGGGCTGCTCTGCCTCCTAGCTACTTCAAGTGACTATAAATTGCTCCTACTGGGAGAGAACTGCCCCTCTGTAGCTGGTGGACCCCTTCTGGGCTCCTATTTGGTTTGCTTGGCTCACCCTTCCTTTGTCCCCAACTTGCTGAAGTGGCATTGGACTTTTCCTTTTCATCATTCGTCTAATGTTAGGTCATCTGGCCAGCCACACAGCTTCTCAATTAATTCTAACCTTTCATGGCATAGGATTTGGTTGTTTGTAAGCTTCCTGTTGACCTAGGAATAAAGTTTTTGTCTTTTTATAACACACCGGTATTCAGTTTTATACCTGAACATTGCACTAGATCGTCGTTGCTTGGATCTTCAGGAGCCTAGGAAGATGCATTCCTGCCATTCTCCAGATTCCAGGAGAATGAGCATCTGTCCTCTTCGTTTGCTGATGTTACTGTCTTCAGTTCTCATTCATCCTAACAGCTGCCATATGGTTCAGGGATCAATTTCCTGTCATTTAAACTGTCTAGAGGTCTCTGCCCCATTTCCAGTTTACCTCTGGCAGGAAATTACCATTTCACTCCCCCACCCCCCACAACAGCATCTTCTGCTATCCACTGCCAGCTTGTTCAGCTGGAGTCTCCCCACAGCTAGTTCTGCAGTTCCCGTCTATATAGTAGAATGAGTAGAAATAACAGAAGATAGTGATGTGAGGGTATATCATCAGACTGTCTTGCTTGCCTCTCATGGTTCTTTTTTTTAAAAATAAATTTATTTATTTTATTTATTTTTGTCTGCGTTGGGTCTTTGTTGCTGCGTACGGGCTTTCTCTAGTTGTGGCGAGTGGGGGCTACTCTGTGTTGCGGTGCGTGGGCTTCTCATTGTGGTGGCTTTCTTGTTGCGGAGCACGGACTCTAGGCGTGCGGGCTTCAGTAGTTGTGGCACGCAGGCTCTAGAGCACAGGCTTAGTAGTTGTGGTGCACCGACTTAGTTGCTCCCTGGCATGTGGGATCTTCCCGGACCAGGGATTGAGCCTGTGTTCCCTGTATTCGTGGGTGGATTCTTAACCACTACGCCACCAGGGAAGTCTGCTACCCTTATTCTTATGGAGTTTGCAAGGAAAAGCCAGATGTCCCACTTCTTTTCCTCTGGTATTTTTTTACTTCATTACCTGTGCTGATTTCTCTGCTGTTTTCCCGGTTCTCCAGTAGGGGACTGTCCCTAGGAAATCACTGTTCTGCTTTCTGCCCTTGATTAGTTTATGTCTTCTAGAATTTTTATATAAATGGAGCCATATAGTATATTCATTCTCTTTCTGGGAGTCTGACTTCTTTCACTCGGCATAATTATTTTAAGATTCATCCATGTGTGGGACTTCCCTGGTGGCACAGTGGTTAAGAATCCGCCTGCCAACGCAGGGGACACAGGTTCGAGCCCTGGTCCAGGAAGATCCCACATGCCATGGAGCAACTAAGCCCGTGCACCACAACTACTGAGCCTGCGCTCTAGAGCCCGTACACCACAACTACTGAAGCCCGCGTGCCTAGAGTCCGTGCTCCGCAACAAGAGAAGCCACCACAATGAGAAGCACGCGCACTGCAATGAAGAGTAGCCCCTGCTCGCCACAACTAGAGAAAGCCTGCAAGCAGCAATGAAGACCCAATGAAGCCCAAAATAAATAAATCTATAAAAAAAAAAGATTCATCCAGATGTATATATCAATTGTTCATTCGTCTTCATTGCTGAGTAGTATTCTATTGTATAGGTATACCCCAATTTGTTTATCCATTCCCTGGGTTTCTTTCTTTTGGGGGGGGAGTTCCTTTTTTTCTTTTGTTTTGTTAATACAAATAAAGCCACTATGAACATTCATGTATAAGCCTTTGTATTGACATGTGCTTTTATTTTGCTTGGATAACAGATTCTGTCATCTCTATTGGCTATCCAAGTCATGGGGGACAGTGGAATCAGAACTAAGAATAGAACCTGTTTATGTTTTGCTAGAGACCTCCCTTTAGATGAACCATTAACATCCAGCAAATCAGATTATTCATCTATCCGTGAATCCAAGTGACTATTCTCCAGCCCATAGACCACCGTTTATTTACAAGGCTATCAGAGTAGACTTGGTCACATTCATTATCTGAAATCAAGGTCTTGTTAGAAAGGTACCTAACAGAGTCTGTTAGGAGTCAAATTTGCATAAAAAGCTATGTAGCCCAGTATTAGTGCCTAAAAGAATGGCAGGTCTCAAAAGAGCATGGGGCACCAGGAGAACAATACAGTATGTGAGAGTGGCAAGGGAAAGGAATGCATTCAGTAATTCAGTAATATTTATTGAGCTTCTACTCTTTGACTAGGCATGGTCATGGGCATTGGGAATACAGCAGGGGATAAAAATGCCTCTCCTCATGGGATTTCATTTTAGTAGGTTGAGACATGATAAATAAGTACATAAACAGTATGTCAGAAGGTGTTAAGTGCTATGAAGAAAGGGGAACTGGGTAAGGTATGAATGTGGGATGATGCTTTTTTATGTCGACTGGTCAAGAAAGACTTTACTTGATTAGGTGACTTTTGAGTTGAGCCATGGAGGAAATAAGGGAGCTAGCCTGGTGGTTGTCTAGAGAAAGAGCATTCCAGGCAGATAGGATAACAAGAGCAAATATCCAAAGGCAGGAGCTTTCTTGGTGTGTGGAGAAAACAGCAAGGAGCCAGGGTAGCTGAAGCAGAGTGTACCAGGCTGAGGGTGGTAGAAGAGAGGCCGTGGGGTCAGACTGTGTGGGGTCTTATTCTGTGAGGTGGGAGCCATAAGAGGGTTTAAACGGAGGAAAGATCTCACTGGATGATATGTAAGGAACAGGCTGTGAAGGAGCTGAGGGCAAAAGCAGGCAGGTCAATTAGGAGGATACTGCAAAATTCCAGGCAGGAGGGATGGTGGCTTGGTAGAGGTGGTAGAAGTAGTTGGATTCTGGATATGTTTTGAAGATGGAGCCAATAGAATTTGTTAATGAAAGAGATAAAGATTGTGTCAGAGTAAGAGGGAAGGTAAGGATGGATTCCAAGTTTTTATTGAACAACTTGAAGATGCCATTTTCTAAGCTTAGGAAGATGAGGGGAGAGGTACAGTTTGGGGACAGAGAGGAGTTCGGTTTTGAAGACATGTTAAGTTTGACATGTCTTATGCCTCCAAGTTGAGATGTCCAGAGGGCAGTTGACTATCAAATTGAAGTTCACGGGAGAACTCTACATTGGAGGTTAAAAAGTGGGATATATCTGTATATGAATGGTACTTAAATCACAGGACAGGATAAGATTATTCCAGGAATAAGAGAAATTAAAGAGAAGTGGTCTGAACAACTAAGCACTTGGCAGCAGAGGCAGGGAAGGAATGAGGATGATCTAGGAAAGAAGATTGAGAAGAAATGGTCACTGAGGTAATAGGAGACCCAAGAGAAAAGTGTTATGGAAGCCAGGTAGGAAAAAAAAATCATTTCAAGGAGGAAGTGATCAACCGTGTTAGTTAAAGGCAACCAATAGTCCTGGTAGTATGAGGACTAAGAATTGACCGTTGGATTTAGCAGTGTGGGGGTCCTTGGTGGCCTTGATCAATTTCAGTGCAATGATAGGGACTCAAAGAAGAACAGGTGGAAAACAGGTTTTATCTTTTTAACTTTTTGCCAGTGGGACTGATCAGGTAGGGAGGGAGAAATTGATGGTGCAGGAGAGATTGGGGGCAGTCCACACTGGCTAAAGCCAAGCTGTTAACTGTGGTCTGGGAAAGCCTTTGCCTAAGCACTTTAGTGTATGATAGAGAGAGGAACACCCCACAAGACAAGGCAACCATCTTCATCTAAATTTTGTGATCTTGGGCAAGTCCTTGATGAGCCTTTAGGTTCTTTTCCACAAAATGAAAAGTCTGCAACCTGAATTCTAGATCTGTTGTTCTCTTGTTCTGGATGAAGACAGGGAAGAATGGGCATGTTTTTAGGAACAAAAAGGAATCACCAAAACAAAAGGGCTATGAATCAGCGGGGGAAGCAGTTAGACCTGTGACCGAATGCACTAAGACAGGCAAGACAGTGTTAATAGCATTCTATTGCATTTCAGCATTTTGTTCTCAACATAGAGGAAAAGCAGCATTCCTTAAATTACAGATTCAAGCCAGATCTTTTTTTTTTTTTCCGGCTGCGCCACACAGCATGCGGGATCTTAGTTCCCAGATCAAACCCATGCCCCCTGCAGTGGAAGTGTGGAGTCCCAACCACTGGACTGCAGGAACTCCCTCAAGCCAAATCTTTTTCTTTTTATTCTGTATTTCTCTCTTCCTTCTCCTCTTCCCCAGAAACTTGTGTCACTTTTTCCTGAGACAACTTGAATATCTGTTGTTGGACTGATTTTTCAGAATAGTGTATGTCAGAGTTTAGGGTGACCTCCATGTTAGAAATGAAGTAGTGCTGATTTTGATAATTGTTCCTGTCCTCCTTTTCTGTGTGCTAGGGTTAGGGAAACAAAGGGG